CTTAATGTAGCTGAGTGTGTCTGTTGATGCGCGGCAGTTTTCCAGCTATGTTGTTTTATTCGATCGATCCAAAATGTTGAAATTGTAAAGAGCATGGCTGTCAAAGTACCCATGTCTACACACGAACGGTATGTCTCAGATCACAGTCTAGTGGAAAATCTGTCTATAGCTTCTCTGATCTGATTGAGAATAGGCTTGATGTTAACCCACATGCACCAGGCTTGGCTTTATTGTGTCTGTGCACATTGGCTTCTATCATTCCAGGATTTATTTAGTTATTAACTTGTATGATGCAGAAGCTTATTGCTAGCTGTCAGTTTCATGCATCTCCCTGGGTGCTTAATGTAGCTGAGTGCGGCAGTGGATGATCTCTGTACTCCTTGACCCTGATGTGAAATTTCAAATCTCTCACCTGTTGTATCAAGACCATTTATTTCACATTTTAATCCTTTTGATTGGAGTTTGATCCAGTATGTGCAATTTGCAGTCACCCTGCTCTCAATCTCCCTTCTGATTCTGTGCTGCTTTATCCTTTATTTTGATTTCATATTGCACTGCCTCACAAATGTCTTAATTTAACTAAATATTGGACAGCAGTGGCGCCTTCCAGGTTTTAGGTGGATGAAGTCTGCTTATGGGTGTGATTAGTAATGCTTGGTCTGAGGAAATATCTGGTCAGGCTTGTTTAAAAAAAAAACTGTCACCGACATTTTGCCACACAGGCAGATTATTTAATGACAGTTGGTGTCTTTGAAATGTAATGTCATGAGTTGTTGAATTCTGGGTAGGAAAATGTTGGTTATTAGCTAAAACAAAACCAGGTACATTTTGAGCTCAGTGTGAAGGTTGTGGATTCAAATCCCATTCCAGTGATCCAGAGTCTGACACTACAGTGTAGAGGCAAAACATTAATTTGTTATCAAGGGTGCTTTTTCTGGGGATAAGATTAAGCTGTCTGTACCCTTGGATTGGAAGCAAAAGGTCTCTCTGGCATGATTTGAAGAAGAGCTAAGTAGATAATACAATAATTTCTCATTGTTATTTGAGAGATCTTGATGTGTGGTAATTGGTTACAGCTGTTGTAACTAAATTTTAACAATTCTTCGTTGGCTGCAGAGTGCTTTGAGACGTATTAAGACTTGGAAAGCTATGTAAATGCAAATTTATTCATTCAGTTCATTAGCTGATCTGTTTATGGCCAGAAGATGGTCTTTTCCTCATATTACCATGCTTCCTGATTCTTTAACTCTGCCACCAAGGATTTGGGGGAAGAGTTATATTTATGTTTTATTTTTATTAATGGTGGCTAAAATGCTAGAGAGCAAGGGTTGGAAGTTGTTTCTCCATAGACCATAAACAATAAGCAAGACAACTCTTTGATATTGTTAGGAAGTTTCTGGTTCTGGGTACTTAGAATGTTTCACAGGATGTTCCTGTACTTGTGAACAAGAGTATTGAAGCAGGCACACAATAGAAGAAAGTTCAGAAAATGTGAAGATTTATCTGCTTCTTGGAAGAATGTTAATGAGGGCAAATTTTGCTTGGACCATAGTAACACACAAGAATTTATTGGGGTTGCTTAATTGATCTTTTATCTTGACTTAAACAAAAGTGTCGTAGCTTGTCATAAACGATAGAAATAAGAACAGGAATAATCTTTTTGGCCCCTGGAGCCTGCTCTGCCACTCAGAAGGATCATGTCTGATCCGATATTCCTCATGCCCACTTTCCTGTGTTTTCCCTATAACCCTTGATTTGACTGATCAAGAATCTATCTTAGCCTTAAATAGACACAAAACTTTGTTCCCACAGCTCTTTGTGGCAAGAAGTTCCAAAGACACTCAACCCTCTTTTAGTCTTGGGAAGGAATTCCTCCACGTCTCAGTCTTAAATTAGTGCCTGTTTATTCTGAGACTATACTCTGTTTCTAGACTGAACCACAAGGGGAAACATCCTCTTAGCGTTTGCCATTTCGAGCCCGTAAGAATCCTTCATGTTCTAATGAGATCACTTCTCATTATTCTACTTCCTCATTATTCTCCGTGAGCAGAGTTCCAACTTGTTTTGCCTTTGCTCATAATGCAATCCCTCCATGCCAACGATGATCCTAGTGAACCTTCTCTGAACTGCTTCTAAGGAAGTGATATCTTTCCTTAAATAAGGGGACCAAATTTACTCGCAGTACTCCAGATGTAGTCTCTCCAGCACCTTGTACAGTTGCAGTAAGTCTTCCCTACACTTCTACTCCAACTCTTTTGAAATAAGGACCAACATTCTCTTAATCTTCCTGATCGCCTGCTAAACCTGTGTGCAAGCATTCTGTGTCTTGAGTGCAAGTACCCCAAGTCCCTTTGTGTTCCATCTTTTTGCATTTTTTTTTCCCCATTTGAATAATACTTTGTTCTTTTGTTTTCCTTTCCAAAATGAACTTCACGTTTCCCACATTACACTCCATTTGTCACATTTTGCTCACTTACCTATTGTTTCAATATCTCAGTTGTATCCCCTTCGCAACATACCTTTCTGTCTATTTTTGTTTCATCTGCAAATTTGGTTATATACATTTGCTTCCTTCCTCCAAGTCGTTAATACGTATTGTAAACTGTTGTGGTTCCAGTACTGATCCCTGTGGAACCAACCTGAAAAAGAACCCTTTGTCCCCACTCACCGTTTTCTACCCAGTAGCCAATTCTCTCTCCATGCCAATACACTACATCCAACACTGTGGGCTCTTATGACTTAACCTTTTGTAAGGTACCTTGTCAAATGCTTTCAGGAAGTCCAAATGCAACGCATCTACCGGTTCTCCTCTATCCAGTCTGGTTGAGACTTGCACGAAAAACTCATAAGTTAGTCAGACAGGATTTCCCTTTCATGAAGTCATGCTAACTCTGGTTAGATTATAGTTTTCCAAATGCACTGCTATTATGTCCTTAATTTCAACATTTTCCAATCATAGATGTTAGGCCAATTATAGTTACTCACTTTCTGCTTCCCTCTGTTTTTGAATAGAGGAATCACATTGGCAGTTTTCCAATCCTCTGGTCTTTCTCCACAATACAAGGATTTTTGGAAAATTACAACCAATGCACCCACTGTGTCCGTAGCTGTTACTTTTAGGATCTTAGGATGCACGCCATCAGTGCCAAGGGACTTATCTGCCTTTAGCCCCATTAGTTTGTCTTATACTTGTTCTCTGGTGATGATGATGGTACTTAATTTCCCCCTGGATTCCTTAGTATTAATGGGATGTTCAAAGTATCTTCCACCACAAAGAATGATGCAAAATATCTGTTTAACCCCTCTGCCATTTCTTGTTTCTGTAACTATCTCTCCAGATTAATTTTGTAAGGACCTATGTTCACTTTGACCTCTCTGTTTCTTTTTATATATTTAAAGAAACTCTTATTGTCAGTTTTTATGTTCCTTGCTAGTTTGCCATCATAGTTTATTTTCTGTTTGTAACTTTTTAGTTTTCTTTTGCTGGATTCTAAATTTGTCCCAGTCTTTACAACTGTCACTGACTTTTGCCTCCTTATATGCTTTTACTTTTGAATTTTGGTTGGCTGTGGTTTGTTTATCCCCCTCTTAGAAGTTTTATCCCTCTCTTGGATTCTATCTTCACTATAAGAAGGACTCCCAGTTTTGTCGCACTTTGCACAAACCAGGGCATCCCAAAGTGCTTTATAACTAATTAAGCACTTTTAAAGTATAGTCACTGCTGTAATCTAGTGCTTGTGGCAACTAATGATATGTAGCAACCTCACAGTTGTCAGTGCAATAATGATCAGATAATCTGTTTTGTGTGACATTGTTTGATATATATATATTTGCAAGGACCTCAGAGATAACTCCCCTTCTAAAACCATAAGATAGAGGAGCCCATCAAGACTGCTATGACATTCGATCATGGCTGAAATGTTTTTCAACCCCGTTCTCCTGCCTTGAACCTATAATCCTTCCTCCCGTTACTAATCAAAGACCTATGTATATCTGTCTTCAATATGCTCAATGACTTGGCCTCCACACCTTTCTGCGGCAACAAGTACCATAGACTTACCAACCTCTGGCTGAAGAAATTCTTACACATCTTAGTTCTAAAGGGTCGTCACTTCACCTGTGAGGCTGTGCCCTCAGATCCTAGCCTCTCCTACAAATGGAAACATCATCTCTAAAACCCTCTATCCAAGCCGCTCAGTATTCTCTAAATTTCAATGAGATCCCCCTCATCTTTCTAAGCTCCATCGAATGCAGACCGAGACCTCAACTGCACCTAATATGACAAGCTCTTCATCCCAGGATCGTTCTTGTAAACTTCCGTGGTAACTTCTTAAAGCCAGCGCATCCTTCCTTAGATACGAAACTGCTCACAGTATTCCAGATGCGATCTGACCGGAACCTTATATAGCCTCGGTAGTACATCTTTGCTCTTGTGTTCTAGCTGTCTTGAAGTTAATGCTAACGTTACATTTGCCTTCCTAACTGCCAACTGAATTTACGTGCTAACCTTAAGAGAATCCTGAACCAGGAGTCCTAAGTCCCTTTGCCTTCAGATTTCTGAAGCCTTTCCCTGTTTAGAAAAATATTCTGCACCTCTACTTTCTACCAAAGTGCACAACCTCAATATTGTACTCTATCTGCCACTTCTTTGCCCACTCTTCTAGCCGGTCCAAGTCCTTCTGCAGCTTGCCTGTCTCCTCAACACTACTTGCCCCTCCTCCTCAACACTACCTGCCCCTCCACCTATGTTTGTCATCTGCGAACATAGCAACAATGTCTTGAGTTCCTTTGTAAAGATCATTAATGTGTAACATGAATAGTTGTAGTCCCATTTCTGACCTGATCAGAACTCTATCAGTTATCAGCTGCCATCCTGAAAAAGACCCCTTTATCCCCACTTTTTGCTTTCTGCCAGCTAGTTAATCCTCCACCCAAACCAGTACCTTGCTCCTACGTGAGCTTTCACATAGCAGCCTCCTGTGTGGCACCTTGTCAAAGGCCTTCTGGAAATCCAAATAGATCACATCCATTGGATCGCCTTCGTCTAATTTGCTCGTTACCACCTCAAAGAATTCTAATAGATTTGTCAGGCATGACCTCCCCTTGACAAAGCCATGTTGACTCAGCC